AGATGTTCTTAACAGATATTTAGCCATATGTGTGTTTTAGAATTCCTGCAGTAAACCAGGGGAACCTTTCCTTAAAACTGGTAATCAAAAATTGTTTGAGTTTGAGTTCCTGCTCATATGCAGAGAATTGTTTCACAAGATCTGGCAGAACACGATATGACTACTTAATTACTGCTCTCGGATTGTTCACCTTTATAATGCACCCTTTTTAAAGGAGGGTTCTCCTCCCATATATCTGGGTGCTAACTCATCTCTGATCAAAGTTATATAAAATGGCCAACTGAATGAGAAATCCCTACTCCATTTGGGACTGAAGGTGTTAATAAAAATGTCATATGACTATTTCAGTCCAGATGACATTAAATATTAATGTAGTTTTTGTATGTATTCAGGTATGTTGTTTTGGTGTGTGCAGGCGCATACGTATTTTGAAAAATTTCTTTCCAAAAGCTTTATACAGAAAGTTTTGATCACAATGTTTGTAATATTAAAAAGTTGTTCAGATGTATAGTTTAATAAATCTTGGGGTATCTACCATGTGGTGATACAGTCACTCCAAGTTGATAAGCCTTGGATGAGTTTTAATGTGGGAGAGAAGGGAAGGTTAAATGTGAGGAAAATGCTAAAGATGAAACTGAGTATATGTGGGAAAGTATACTACAAAGAACTTAAAAGTAAAAAATACTAAAATATTAGTAGGGTTTGGGTAGTGAGGCGATAAGTGGTTTCATTTAAAGTGTTTCCTCCAAGTTCTGAAAGCACTGCAGATACGTTACTTTGTCCTAAAGAAATTTTGAGTCAGGATGTCCAGGGTACCAGTGTGTGTTTCCACATGGTTTCGTTGGTCTTCAAGGGAGTTGATAAAGTGATTCACTTGTAGCAGTTTGTTAATGACTAACTCTTAAGATTTTTTTAAAGAACTTTTGTATTGGAAATGAAATGTAATGAAGCATTAAATGAAGTGAAATCTGAAATCCCAGAGTAACATTTTAGAAAATTTTATTATAATCGTTAGTGAAAAATACAGCAGAATTATACTTTCAGGGGCTACTAGAAATAATTTAACTTTTTTGCATAACACAGTATATCCTGTAGGGCTTTGATCTCAGAGTTAGGTCCAATTTTTTTTTTTTCCAGAATATTATGGGGGTACAAACACTTTGGTTACATAAATTGCCTGTGCAACACCCGAGTCAGAGCTATAAATGTGCCCATCCCCCAGACAGCAGGCACCACACCCATTAGGTGTGAGTTTGCCCATCCCCTCCACGCCCGTTCCTGACACCTAATGAATGTTACTTCCATATGTGTGCATAAATTTTGATCAGTTAGTACCAATTTAATTGTGAGTACATGTGGCATTTGTTTTTCCATTCTTGTGATACTGGCTCCAGCTCCATCCAGGATAATACAGGAGGTAGGTCAAGTTTTTTATGGCTTAGTAGTACTCCACGGTATACATATACCACATTTTATTAATACACTCATGTATCGATAGGCACTTGGGTTGTTTCTACATTTTTGCAATTGTGAATTGTGCTGCTATAAATATTTGACTGCCGATGTCTTTTTTATAGAATGTCTTTTTTTTTTTATCCTTTGTGTAAATACCCAATAGTGTGATTGCTGGATCAAATGATAGTTCTACTTTTAGCTCTTTGAAGTATCTCTGTATTACTTTCCATAGAGGTTGCACTAGTTTGCAGTCCCACCAGCAGTGTACGAGTGTTCCTATCTCTCCGCATCCACACCAACATTTGTTGCTTTGGGACTTTCTGATAAAAGCCATTCTCACTGGAGTTAAGTGATATCTCATTGTGGTTTTGATTTGCATTTCCCTGATGATTAGAGATGTTGAGCATTTTTTCATATGTTTGTTGGCCATTAGTCTATCTTCTTTTGAAAAGTTTCTGTTGATGTCCTTTGCCTACCTTTTAATGGGGCTGTTTTACTTTTTCTTGCTGATTTTCCTGAGTTCTATATAGATTCAAGTTACCAGCCCTTTACTGGATGTATAGCATGCAAATATTTTCTCTCATTAGGTAGGTTGTCTATTTGCTCTATTTACCTTGGCTGTACAGAAGCTTTTAATTTGATCAGGTCCCATTTATTTATTTTTGTTGTTGTGATTGCTTTTGGGGTCATCTTCATAAATTCTTTGCCTAGGCTGATGCCTGTAATAGTTTTTCCAACATTTTCTTCTAGAATTCTTATGGTTTCATGCCTCAGGTTTGAGTCTGTTATCCATTGTGAGTTGATTTTTGTGAGTGGTGAGAGGTGTGAGATCCAAAATTTTTGAGGAGAATCTTGATCCCAGGGTACCTAAGGTGAATTCATCTCTGCAAGTGTTCTCATATCTCGTTTCAGAAATGCCAACTGTTTCTTAGGGGAGATAGTGACCTATTCTTTAAGTACCTTGGGTTTTTGTTTTGTTTTATTTTGTTTTTGTAAGGAGTGTCCAGTCTGCCCTCTTGCTGCCACATTTGTACTAATCTTAACCCAATATCTCTTCACTTTGCAGGTAACCCAATGTAACTCTACTGTGAGTATTTGTCAGGTTGTATACTGTCAGACTCACCATCACTCAAAATGGAGAAAATACTGGTTGAGAGAAACAGTATTTACAGAGGATTACACAAAGGAGTGGCTATTAATTTCTTTTTAGTGATTTTTTGACCTTGTTTATGTCATGTTTGCTTTGAGATTCTTGATGAAAACTGGATTCTTTCCATAGAAAATGGGCAAAGAAATGTGTGGAAAATATCAAGAAATTTATAAAACATAAGCCCCTCCTCCTATTCCTCCCCACTCTCACACATATTCTATGAGCCTCATTTTCATATTCACTTTCTCTGTAATTCTAGCAACTACTCCTTGAATTAGGCCAATCAGACCTTCAGAAAGCTATAACCTTCCACTGCATTCATATTTCAGTATGTGGAGTTATTTAGTAAAGTAATAATTTGTTTTGATGTAATACTTATATTTGTTGAGTCACTCCATGTCGATGGCAGTTATAAGAAACTGACCTATGAAGTGTGTCACTGTATTTGCTATGAGAATGTTATTAAAGATGTTGATTTCATTATTTCTTTCGTCATTGGACAGATATTTATTGAGTACCTTCTTTGTACCAGAAAGACTCTGTAGAAGCTACTCCATGGATCCTAGATTCTATGAAAGTGTGTATTAGGAACATCTGAATGAGTCTAGGAAGTCTCAGGAAGGAATTCCCAGAAGTAACATCATAAGTTTAGACTGGAAGGATTAGTACAGTTAGCTAAACAAAGAGGGTAGGAAAGGGTGTGGACGGTTTAGGGAAAAGATCCAGAGAACATTAGTGGAAACTGTGAGAAGTTTGTTGTGACCACAGAGGGTATGATGGGAGGAGGAGGTGAGGGAGGTAAGTAGATAGTGAGGAAACTTGCTGTGAAGTTTCAATGCGAAGAGCCATTGGAAGACATGGAAGATCTCTGGGATATGGGACTATGTGGTTAGATGGGTTAAGGGAAGAGAGAACATCATAAATGCCTCTAGGATGGATGCTGTCCAGTTACATACATTTTAGAGCCATATGTGCTTCTCCCTATAGTATATGGCAGATTTGGTGACATACATTTTTACCTATTGACCTCAGTCCTGATTGCATTTGCTACTCTACTTGTTTTCTCTTTGCCTCATTTTTCCCATAAGTGTTTAGTTTCTTATACCTTGGTATATTCTATGTCTTTAGAAACACCATCAATCATTTTAGGATATCACATTAAGGTATGCATAAAAACAAACTCTCAGGGATCCATCTTTCCAAACTCTTGTAGTTTGTTAATGAAACGCTTGCTTCATTATTTATGATAAACACCCTCTCTGTGCTGTACGTGGGCTTCCAATAATTAATTTCAGCAATTTTGGCTGACTTTCTTAGCTTGTTAAAACACACTTCTTACTTTAAAAAAATATGTACTAAGGTCTAACAGCTAAAAACATAATATTGCCTTAAATGGTGTGCATTTCATTTATGACTTTTTAAATTTATTTAGGTTTAATCAGACTATCTTCTAAAGTTTTGGGAATATATATTGTTTAAAAAATTAAAATGTTAATAAAATGAGAAAAGAGCAAACAGAAAGACAGCCATAAAATTATGTGGAAAATGCTTTTCATAAGAAATAAACACTTCCCTAAGTCTGTTGTAACTATAGGTCTAATGCTCAGTGAAGTTCATTAGTATCAAGGAGCACGTGTAAGCTGTTAGATTCATGAAGCCATTACTAAAAGAAGCAGCAGGAAGTAAAACCTATGCTGTGTGTCTAAACCATGCTAAACTGCTCTAAAACTCTAGGCCACATTTTGGTTCTAATTTCTTAAGTGAATAGATGGTTTTCTACCTAAGGTTTTGTGAAGGACAGTATTCTTAAAGCCCTCTGTACGTGGTATAAGGACTGGTTCCTGTAAGCTATTTTACCTAATCTGTGCTGCTGACTCTGTAAAACAGACTAAACCAGGCAATTATTTGTTGTGGTAGAAGTTGTAGGGTAGTAAGAAGGTAGCAGAGAAAAACTATCACATGATTTTTAAGGAAGGTAAGAGAATTGATAAATTTTGATATCCCCTTTTCTTTTTAATTAACAGAGCCTGCATTGATTCTAATGAAGATGGGGACTTGAGTAAATCTACTGTATTGAGAAACTATAAAGAGGCCCAAGAATATGGTTCTTTTGGCACAGCTGAGATGTTGAATTACTCCGTTAATATATATGATGATGGAAACCTACTCTCCATTGTGACCAGTGGAGGTATTCTGTTTTAGATTCACTAATGAGAGATATATTTATGAGGTGGTAAAATGATTAATTCCTATAGCCCAGAGCAACCTTAGAGAAAATTTTAATCTAGAGATCCCAACTAAAGGACTAGGTCTGGAATCATAGATGTGATTTGATTCACTAGTAAGGTGTTGTTTTTTTAAAGCCATAACCATATAGAATCCATTCCAAGAATAGGAGCATGGTCCAACATCAGAAAATCCATTAAGATAATTCATCAGGTGAGCAGTAATTTCATTTCCAAATAATAACCCTTGAAAATTTCACCCATGAGTACAGAGATTCAGATAAAAGGATCCTCATTACAGTGTTCCGTGAAAATTCAAAAAAGTTGGAAACTACCTAAATACCATTAACCAAAAGAATATATATTTTTTAAAAATTGTGTGTTATTCTTACAATGAAATATGGTTGTCCCTTGGTATCTGTGGGAATGAGTTCCAGGACCTCCCTCAGATACCAAAATCTGAAGATGCTCCAGACCTTGATATAAGTGGCATATTTGCATGTAACCTACACACACGCTCCAGTATGAAAGTCCCCATCATGCTTTTCCCTAATCAGTAACCTACCTCTCCTCCTCCCAGAGTTAACTACTGTGCTGATTTCTGTCACCACGTTAGTTTGGACCATATGATGTTGCTGTTTTTGTGGTCAGAAATGATAAAATAGTGGCAGTTTCACGTGTGTAGCCTTTTTTTCATTTATGTAAATGAAATTAATTCAGTATGTATGCTTTTGTGTGTGACTTTTTTGTGAGCTTCATCTCATAGTGCATAGAAGTAGTTCATATGTATTGCTCAGTTCTGTGAATTAGTATGCCATGGAACCATTTACTATTAATGGATCTTGAGGTTATTTTAAGTTTGTGAATTTATGTTATAAACAATGCTGCCGTGAACATTTTTGTGGATGTCTTAGTTACACGTGCATGCATTTTGGGGGTTGTGTAGCTAGAGGTGGGATTGCTGGGTCATAGGGTATGGCTGTGTTCAGCTTTCACTGCCACCAGCAGTGTATGATGCACACTCCCATCCACACTTGCTGTTGTCAGTCTTTAAATTTTTAGCCAGTCTGAAAGATATGTAGAGGCATCTCATTGTGGCTTTAATTTATATTTCCCAGATTACTAATGAAATTGAACAATTTGGATATCCTCCTCTTTGAAATGCTTTTTCAAATTTAAACATTTAAGGTAGTCTCTTTTTTTCTTTTCAATCTGAATGATTCTTTATATATTCTGGATATAAGCTTTTTTCATGTATATTGCAAATACTTTCTCTCCTTTGTGACTTGCATTTTTGCTCTCAATTAACTGGGTAGCAGTATAGTGGGTGTAGTTCAAGGATTTTTGTTTTAATTATTAGTAAGACATTTAAGATAATCTATCTTAAGATATATAGCTCAGAGTATATGTTATTTGATTATTTTTATCATGATTAATAGTATGCAAATTGAATTGAATGGTTAAAACTTTCAGTCTGTGAGAATATTTTGTCAACCACCCCCACCCTTGTCTCTAGGAGCTCATGGGACACACGTAGCTAGTATAGCTGCTGGGCATTTTCCAGAAGAACCTGAAAGGAATGGGATAGCTCCTGGTGCTCAAATTCTTTCCATCAAGATTGGTGATACGAGGCTAAGCACAATGGAAACAGGCACAGGGCTCATAAGAGCTGTGAGTATTTGAATTGTTGATTTAGAAGATTAATGATTAATGATCTTAGATATTTTTAGGTTTATAAAGTACTCCTGGTTTACTGAGAATACATTGAACTATATTTGGTGTACGGGACTTTGTTTTAAAAAGAAAAAAATGTATTTCAGAATCATTTTTATTAAAAATTATCAGGATAAAGTTTTTTGGCTTAACCTTTGTGAAAAAATTATTTTATGCTTGTCATTTCTAGGAAATCCCCTACTAAGCAATTTTGAGATACTTGTTACAAAAAACTTAAAAGCACCTCTTACCCAACTTGTTCCATCAGAGTAAGGGGAATGATTTTTATTAAAAATTATCAGGATAAAGTTTTTT